CCAGTTTTGGGCCCCACACTTCAAGAAGGATGTGGATAAATTGGAGAGAGTCCAGCGAAGGGCAACAAAAATGATTAGGGGACTGGAACACATGAGTTATGAGGAGAGGCTGAAGGAGCTGGGATTGTTTAGCCTGCAGAAGAGAAGAATGAGGGGGGATTTGATAGCTGCTTTCAACTACCTGAAAGGGGGTTCCAAAGAGGATGGCTCTAGACTGTTCTCAATGGTAGCAGATGACAGAACGAGGAGTAATGGTCTCAAGTTGCAGTGGGGGAGGTTTAGATTGGATATTAGGAAAAACTTTTTCACTAAGAGGGTGGTGAAACACTGGAATGCGTTACCTAGGGAGGTGGTAGAATCTCCTTCCTTAGAGGTTTTTAAGGTCAGGCTTGACAAAGCCCTGGCTGGGATGATTTAACTGGGAATTGGTCCTGCTTTGAGCAGGGGGTTGGACTAGATGACCTTCTGGTGTCCCTTCCAACCCTGATATTCTATGATTCTATGTTTCTTGTGCCTTTTCCTAGGCACTGCGGATGGTGATCATTGCTGGGACTCTAGTACGGTAGGGGGAGCACTCTTAACTGAAACTGAGGCACTCGGTGCTGAGTCTTACTGGCCTGGCTCAGATGGAGGTCTCAGTGCTGTCTTCATGAGCGAAAACTTTAGTCTGGCCTTCTGGCCCTTTTTTGTGCAAGGTTTTAAGTCCCTGTAGACCTAGTAATGGTCCCCAACGTGAGCTTCACCCAGGCACTTCAGGCAACATGAGTGTGGGTCACTCAGGGGCACAATCTTGTTGCAGGAGATGCAGGGCTTAAGGTGCTGCCTCAGCACCAGGGAACCAACAAAATTCTGCTAAAACACAAAGTTACAGAACTTCACTAAAATTATCTAAAACTGACTACAACTAACTATGTACAGAAAGAAGAAAAAAAGTCCACTGAGGGAGTTTTCAAAGGCAAGAATAGCTGTTCCAATGACCATCACGGGCACTAAGAAGGAATTGAGAGGGCACAAGGTTGGCTGGGCATTTTATACCGGTGCTATTGGAAAGATAACAGAAATAGATCTGCAACTAGGGTCCTAGATTTCAAAAGATTTCAACTTTAAAAAAATAATGGAATTAGTTAGGGAAGTGGACTGCATCAAAGAACTCAAGGATCTGAATGTGGAGGAGACTTGGAAGGAGAAAAACCAATACACCCAGGTCTATCAAAGAATGACTATGAGCTGAGCTGCCAATGCGATGCCACCATGAAAAAGGCTAATGCAGTGTAAGGATCCAAGGTATTTCCAGTAGAGACAGGAAAGTTAGTACATTTATACAAGGCACTGGTGAGACCTCATCTGGAATAATGTGTGCAATTCTGGTCTCCCATGTTTAAGAAAGATTAATTCAAACTAGAACAGGTGCAGAGAAGGGCTATTAGGATGATCTGAGGAATGGAAAACCTACCTATCAAAGAGCTTGGCTTGTTTAGCCTAACCAAAAAGAAGGCTGAGGGGAGATATGATTTCTCTCTATAAATACATCAGAGGGATAAATACCAGGGAGGAAGAGGAGTTATTTAAGTTAAGCACCAATGTGGATACAAGAACAAATGGATATATACTGGCCATCAACAAGTGTAGGCTTGAAATCAGGTGAAGGTTTCTAATCAGCGGAATGAAGTTCTGGAACAGTCTTCCAAAGGGAGCAGTGGGGGCAAAAAACCTAACTGGCTTCAAGGGTGAGGCTTGATTAGTTTATGGAGGGGATGGGATGATGAGACTGCCTACAATGACATGTAGCCAATCTGCGATATATCTCCAATGGCTAGTGATGGGGCACTAGATGGGGAGGCTCAGAGTTACTACAGAGAATTCTTTCCCAAGGGTCTGGCTGGTGTGTCTTGCCCACATGCTCAGAGTGTAACTGATTGCCATATATGGGCTCAGCAAGGAATTTTCCCTCTGGGTCAAATTGGCAGAAACCTTCAGAGTTTTTCACCTTCCTCTGCAGCACTGGGCACAGGTCACTTGCAGGTTTAAACTAGTGTAAATATGAAGTCTTTAAATAAATATTTGAGGACCTCAGTAACGCAGCCAGAGGTTATGGGTCTATTACAGGAATGGATGGATGAGGTTCTGTGGCCTGAAATGTGCAGATCAGACTAGATGATCATGATGGTTCCTTCTGACCTTAAATTCTGTGCATCAATGACCCTATCCTTTGCTCCCCTGTCTCATGAAGCTATACACCGGCCACCTCGACAGCATCAAGGAAAGATTCAACTAACAACTCAGCAGGTACAGAATGAATTAGATGTGCTTTTGGAAGACTGAAGTGACCCTGGCACTTTTTCCTCACAAGATTGGATCTCAGTGAGAATAACATCTCAATGATTACAAGTCTCACAGGTGCACCAGGATGAGGCTGATTGTGCCCAGAGGAGCCCTTTAACTCCTTTCTGACTGGGGTGGGGATCTGCCCACATACTCTCCCATTTAACGTGATCCTCAGGACCCCAATGACTGAGCCTGACTCCTTCACTTCCCATAAAAAGAAGTCCACATTGATGCAGGAAAGAAAAACAAATAAAATTCTTGAAAAATCTGGACTGAAGAGGACAGGCTCCTAGCACAGCCTGTCTTTCAAAGCGCTAAAGTCTTTCTCACAATGTTCATCTCTATGGACCTTCTTTGAACTCCCATCTTGTATCAGGTCTACCAAAGGGATGGGATGGCAGTGAAACTGGGAATAAACAGCCTATAGTAAGTAGCCAATTAGTCCAATGAAGTGCCACACCTGCCTCTTAGTGTGCAGAATAGGACATACCAACAATGTCTGTACATTGCTGACTAGTGGCCTAAGTTGGTCTCCTCTCACAGTATAACCAAGGTAATTCACCAATTTGCATTTTGCTGGATTGACTATGAGTGGGATTTATGGACATCCCACTGCACTTTTTCCCCAAGGTCCTACCATATCCATCCCAATTCATGTGAAGGGAGTTTTGATTGGGAGAGTGTGATCAAATGGGCCTTTGGGCACACAGGACAGGAGGCACAGTACTCTCTGACTTCCTGGTAGATGCCAGGCCAGTAGAAATGAGCCAACATTCAGGACAAGGTTGTGATGCTGGCACCATAATAGATGGATCGTTCTCTTGTGGATTGGTACTAGAAACAGAGACTGATGCCACTGAATGCTGAGTCAGCCTTCAGAGCCTTTCCTGGCTCTGGGATCCCTTGGTGCCTCCTTTATCCCAGAAGCTGGTCTAGGAGGCTTAACCAAAAGCGTGGGAACCGTCAGTTCTAGGAGGCTTCACTGCTAACGCTTCTTAAGGCAAGATTCCCTGTAGTCTTTTCTGCCACTTTTTCTTTGTTCATATGGTAAATATTAAGTGTATTGAGTACTTTGATGCTGAGTGACCCTGGCCCAAGAATGCCAGGCATCTAGATGCTGGGAATACTAATGGACATGACATGCATCTTTTAAAACCTGATTTCTTGGTCTTTGGTTCTGCTATCAAAGCACCAAAGAAACTTATACTTATAAAAATTCAAACTAAACAACTATACTAATACATGTCTAACTAACTATAACTACCATCTAACTAGGCACTACATATATGGATCTGGAAGAATCCTGGATGGATTCCTAATCCATCTGCTGGTCATGGCTGGAAGAACATGAAGCAGCTGAAGTGCTTTTATACCCTCACCATGGAACATCTGATGTTTGCTAAGGGGATGGATGAGGGAGGCATGCGAGCGCTCCAATGGGCACTGCTACCTAGGCTTCAACCATTCAGAGTGCACTAGTCAGAGCATCCCATGAATGGGAATATGCAGAGGACATTCAAAGAGGAACTTATACATATTTTAGTCTTTGAAGGGAAAGCTCCTGACAAAGAACTTAGCCCTGAATTATGAAGGGGAGGGGTAAAACTGTGTTGTTTTAGTCATTAATAGCCACATCCAGCTGAATCTCCAAACAATATAGAACATGGCATAGCCATCAATGTACCAAGGCCTTAACTACAAGGCCTTGAGAGCCAAAAGAGAAGGATGCTGCATTTGTCTTTTAAATGTCCTTTGTTCAAACAAAAAAAGACAACAGGAATACCAATCAAGGGCATCGCTTCCTGACAGTACGTAGACAACATGTGTGAGGTAATATCTTTTATAAAAGTAATGACAGTACATACAGTGTTTAAATCCTGGAGATTCTGTGTAGTTATTAGCAGAAAGGACTACAGAGAAACAAAAGAACTATTTACCAATAACAAGAGATGATAAAGCTAGGTGAAGCAACACAGGGAGCTCCAACTTGCATCACAGGCAGTGAGAAAGAACTAAGAGGGACTTGAGGTGATCTCGCCCTTTATGCCCTGAGCTGCAAGCACAAGGACATGCAGGGCACATGCATGCGCCCAACAGTACTGCTAGCAAAAATCTGACTCAAGTGTCCTGGGTGCACATAAACCAATAGTGAAATCGCTTGAAGGAGAACCAGTGCCACAAGGTGCATTCACCTCCTGGGGAAGGTCACTGCAAAGTGGGCTAGCACAAGGAGCAGGAGGCCCATAATCATTTTCCATTCTTGGGTTTCATACTGAACTCCAAAACTGCAATGCAATGGAAATGAGGTCAAATGTGGAATAAGCAGCCAAAAAATCCCAAAACAACTCCCCGCCCCCAAAAGGACAAATAAAAATCAAAGGAAAAATATTACTTGTTCGAGACAGAGAAGACTTCTGAATTTAACTAATTCGTCAAAGGCTGGAGCCAACTGGCCACATGGAAAGGAAGGGAAGCGGAGTCAGTGACTGAAGATGAGAACATTTTCAACTGCTATTCTGTTCCCGTACATGATATGTTATGTAGAGGAAGGACTATCCTGTCCCATGTGCATCGGAGACAACCAGTCTATAGAAAAAAGAAACTATTCTCCAAGATGATCTTATCAAAAGCCATAACTGTTGTATTTAAAAGTTTAAAAACAAAATATTACTCACGAGGCAAATGACCACATGATGCATTTTCCTCCTCCAGGGCATTTGCAAACACAGCCTCTAGCTGTATTTCTCTTAGAATTATCATGAGGGAAGCCAAGAGAATGGCCCATCTCATGTGCAACACTGATTGCATCATAGAGCACTGAGCTAGATCTTGCCTGTACACAGTTAGACAAAACACAAAGACAAGAGGGAGTTATGAATTACATATGAACATAAAAAGCCACATTTTTAGTTATTGCACAGACACACTGGATAATTTCATTTGCAAACAGATAATTCTAGAACATTGCAGAATTCGAAAAGAGAACTTTCAGAGTGAAGGAATAATTTCTTCACACTATTCTCTGAGATCCTTTTAACAGGAGGAAAAAATGAACTACTTACGAGTGATATGCCTAGCTCCGCCAAGGTCCCCAGGCCATAAAATTTCATCCCATAATTCCTCTACATCAAGCCTATAAGTGGAGATTACTTACTGTAACTGGATGTCCTTAGAGATGTGTGGTCCCTATCTGTACTCCACCCATGGGTATGCGTGCACACCATGCACGTGAGTCCGGAAATTCTTCAAAACAGTGTCCATTGACTGGCATATAGGCAGGAGTTTTCCTCATGCTACTAACTGATGGTATGAGAGGCAGCATGGGTCAATGCCTCTCCAATTTCTCTTCTTACAGCAAATCCAACAGGATCTGAAGCAGATGGGGTGGAGGGCGGGTTGTGGAATACAGATAGTGACAATACATCTTGAAGAACCTCCAGTTACAGCAAGTAACTTTCACCACTTCTTTTTCAAATGATGGTGTATTCTCCATGTGGGTGACTGGTAAGCAGTGTTCAGACTGGAGGAAAGTGCAAGGAAGATGACACAAAAATGCTATTCCTACCGCTTCATCCACAGTCAATCCATTACAGTGTAATGTGTCACAAACATGTGGACAGAACTCCAAGTCACTGCCCTGCAAATGTCCCAAAGCAGGACATCAGATAGGGATGCTGTCAAGGCTGCTTATGCTCACATGGAGTGAGGTGTCATATCCCCAGGGAAGGAGGAATTCTTGATATTTTGTAGCACTCCAATATGCATCCTGAAACCCACTTAGAAATCCTCTGGGAGAATATATCTTGCCCATGCGATCTTTCAGCTCTGGCAATAAAAAAAGCTGAGATTTTCTAATGGGTTTGTTTCTTTGCATATAGAATGCCAGGGCGCACCTGACATTAAGGGAGTGAAGTCTCTTGTCTTCAGAAGCATGGGGTTTCAGGAAAAATACAGTAAATTGTATTGTTTGATTGATGTGGAATTTAGAAACAATCATGGGGAGAAATATGGGGTGTAACTGAAGAGAAATCTTCTCTCTGTGAAACACTGTATAGAGAGTGTCTGCGAGGATGGCTCCTCGTTCACGTACCCTTCTGTTGCCATAGGTTTGAAGGGCAGACCTGTGAGTGTTGACAGGACAAGGACAAGGTCCCATTGCGGTATAGCTTTAATGATCAGTGCGAATAGCCTGATCTAGCCCTTCATAAATTGTACAGTAGTTGGTGAGAAAGAAGGAATGTTGTTCCACTGGAGGGAAGAAGGCACTAATCACTGCTAGGTATACCCACAGCAAAGTAAGAGCTAGACCTGAAGTCTTCAAGGATAGGAGATAGCTTAGGTCAATTGGAATGCCAATGGTATCCAGCAAACATTGGTGGAGACATCCATAGGCCGAAAAGTGCCTCCATTTGGTTAGTTAGCAGGTTCCTGTAGAATCCTTTCTACTTTGCTTAATGATTTCCTGAACAGGGGTGGAGCATAAGCATTCTATTTTGGATGCCCATCCAATCACCAGATCATGAGGTGGAGAGAGCTCGGGTTGGGGTGCTTGATCCCTCCCTCCTTGGGTTAGGAGATCTGTAAATGGTTAGATCCTGATAGGTGGGCAGATGGACGTATCTAGAAGTTCTGTGAACCAGAACTGTCTGGGCCAGTAAGGTGCTAGGAGAATGATGTTGGCTTTGTCGCAATGGATCTTCCCTATGATTTGTGGGAGTAGGGGGATGGGAGGAAACACGTATCTGAGGCCATCCGTCTAGGAAAGCAGGAGAGGGTCACCCTGGGAGTTGCAACCCATGGCTCCCCTGGAGCAATACACTTCCTTTAATCTGGGACACAAATCAGTCCCATAGTGGAGTACTCCATTGTGTAAATATCTTAGTTAGGACTGTGTCATGAATCCCTCATTCATGATCTGCAGAGAAGATTCTGCTTAGTTTGTCTGCTAAGGAGTTGTGAACACCTGGGAGGTACAAGGCCTATATTGTGATATAGTTTCTCATACACCTGTTCCAAAGTCTGACATCTTCCAGGCAAAGAGAGAGATCTTGCTCTTCCTTGTTTGTTTATAGGCATCACAGCAGTGATACTGTTCAATGATATCTATACGTGTAGCGAGTGTAGGAGGGGAAGGAAAGCCTTGCATGCAAGGTGGATGGCCCTCAGTTCCAGTGCGTTTATATGTAGCCTTGCCTCTCGCAGTATCCAGGCACCCTGAATGGTGTGGCAGTCCTGGTGAGCATCCCACCTCATAAGGGAGGCGTCTGACACTATTTCCTGCATGTGGGAGGGATGAAAGAAGTCCCCACCATGACTTTGTTCGGGTTCAACCACCAAGTAAGGAAGGTGAGAACTCTGGTGGGAACAGTCACCTTGGAACTGTGGTCCCTGTTTGGTCAGTAAATCAAGTGGAGCCAAGCTTGCAGACACTGCAAGTGGAGACTGGTGAAATGTGTCATGTAGGTGCATGCAGCCATGTGGCTTAACAGAAGGAGACACCTGGCACCATAATTCATGGTCTGTCAGTGACATGGGAAATCAGGTTCCTCATTGCATAAAATCTGTCTCTGGGGAGGAATGCTCTACCAAAGACCAAGTCCAAACATGCTCCTATAAAGTTTATTGTCCTTGTGGGAGATAAAATGGACTTTTCTTCATTTATGCAAATGTTTAAGGTAGCAACAAGTTGCAGAAGAGATCCTGTTGCTGACAGGACTGCCTGATGAGACTGGCCTACCAGAAGCCAGTCATCCAAGTACGGGAACACAGTTAAGCCATGGCGCCTCATCTGGGCTACTACCACAGAGAAAATTTTCATTAAAATCTTGGGTGCTATAGTGAGCCCAAAGTGGAAGACCTGAAACTGGTTGTGTTCCTGGCCAACCATGAAATGCAGGAACTTCCTGTGTGAGTGGTGAATGTTCACATGGAAATACGTGTCCTTCGTGTCAAGAGCCACAAACCACATCCCCTCCTGAAGAGAGGGGATTACAGAGGCCAATGTAATTGTAACCCATGTGCCTAATAGGGAGATATCCCTTTAAGAGATCTATGTGGGGGGATGAGTTGTGACTCTTTCTGTAGCTGCCTGTACCACTGATTTGGGGGCAGGATGGGAAAACAAAGTCAGCTCCTTTGGCAGGAACAAAATGCCTCTCAGCCCTTTTTGGTGTATGCGCACAAGATGTTTGTGTGTGCCAAACCACGCCATCCAGCTCTAATATAGCCTCTTTAATCGGAAGGGCCACCTTACTCAGTCCTTGCAGTTGCAAGATGTCCAGGAGCTGGTGTTGAAGGTTCTGGACCTCTTTAAATGGGATCTGTAGATCATTTGCAATCTGCTGTAACAGCTCCTGGTACTGATGGTGGTTATCCGGCAGAGAATGTGATGAAGAAGTGACAGCATGGTCCAGAGATGATGAAGAAGCTCCTGTTGGAACCATCAGTACCAGTGGAAGCAGTTCTGGCTCTTTTTCCTCGTACACCAATGGAACCAGTGAGCGAGAGGGGGAGGAGTGGTACTACCTCTGAGAATGGCCCAGATGCCTGATATATGGATCCCATGGGCACCAATAAAACCAGAAGGAGGGATCCACTGGTTGCAGAGGACTGCCAAGGGAATCAGTACCAGCGGTTGCTTGGGGAGGGAGTCATACCCAGAGGAGTGGTGAACATATCCTCTTGATTGTCGGTCAGGCTCCTGTACCTCTGAAGAGATACTGGTGCATATATCTCCTCTGACTCCGCTGATTCAGAGGACTGTTCCCTCAGTAGTGGCGATGCCATCAGTACCGGGGTACTCTGGCCCCATGGTTGGAGATGGAACCGCTCTTGGGATATCGGCATAGATTCATCTTCCAGAGTAAAAACATCAGTTAGTAGGGCAGAGCCAAGGAGGAGTGAAGAGTGAGGGTGTGGGAGAAATATATCCTCCAGTGTTATGTAAGTCTCTGTATGGCCCATGGTATTCCAACAGACACGCCTGAAAGACCCAGCTTATCTGTTTCAGCTAAACTGTTTTTAGATGAACAAGGCAGTACCGATGATGAGTCTGGCCCTTCACTCACAGAAGGAACTGGCAAGCATCTGTCTTTCTATTTCAGTACCACAGTCACCATTGAAACTAGTGGATCCCTCTTTCTGTGCACCTTGCCCTCCAATCTGGGGATCTTTGATGGAGCCTGTTCCATGGGTTCCATATGTGATGTCTCACCCGACCTGGACTATCTCAGGGAGGGAACGCATTTCCTATGGACATTCCTCTGTGGAGATCTGTCCTTGCACCCATGGGAGTGCCCTCTACTCTCATGGGGAGCCCTCGAGGAAGACTCATTGGACTTCAAGGTTAGAGGCTCTGCTCCAAGGCAAATGCTCGGAGGGGCACTGCTGGTTGGTTGAGGCTGAAGTATATGGTGGTCTCCTGGACCCAGATCAGAGGAGGGCCTCATAACCTCCTCCATCAGAAACTTTCTAAGTCAAAGCGCCGAGGCTTCTTGAGTTCTGGGTAGAAAGGATCACTTTGCAGCAATATGTGCCTCACACAGAAAGTACAGGCACCGCAGATGCTCATCACAGATGGGAAAGAGCAAAGGGAGGAGAGACAACTCTTGAATTCCAGACTCTGTGTATAATCCCAGAACAGGGAGAACGTCCCCCGACAGGGGGCTGGGCGGAACTACTCTATACTACCTATAAACAATACTAACTACAAACTACTTAAGCTAAGATATTTACAAATATTTTTACTTTACAGTTTGTACACAGAGTGAAGGAGGACATGATTCTGACTAAGCCCAGGCAGCGGGTAAGAAGGAACTGAAAAAGCATTTACCT